CTTGAACAGGGATGGATGCTCTTTCCATGCCACTCTGCCCGCAGCTGAGCAAAGGGGCGGGGTGTGGTGACATCATTGACCTTCTAGGGCTACATGCTCATATTTAGTAAATTACATTTTCCTAATATGGCTATATGGACATATAAGGTAAATTACACCAGCACAAGCATCCCGCCCTTTTGTTTACATGCAGCTCGGGAGGGGGAATGCCCATTCTGCAGCTGATTGGGTGGAAGTTGCCATGGCATTTCCTTGTCTGAAGGAGCTCAGATTTGGACCGGGTTTGGTCCAATGTTAAATATATTAGGAAAATGTTATGGATACAATATCGCCTCTCTACATTAGACAACATGATCACTATAGGCAGTTGAATATAATTATGGTGATAAATGTGTAAACCTTTTATGCCATCTGTCATCTTTTTTTTGGACAGCTGCTTAATGAATAAATCACAGCTATGATCTGTAGGTGCATGATTAATGGCCCAGCATAATTTGTGGACACACATAGGCTTATTCAGAAAGGCAGAGATCGCCGGGCATAGTCCATAGCAAGCAGTCAGGAGCCCTACTTCTGATATATGACTCAGATCTGATTGCAACACTTGCTTTTTGCCCTGTTTTATCAACTACAGTAAACCTAATAAAACTTGGCATGGCATTTGCAACATATCCGAATGCTAATGTTTGTGTTATTATGTAACAAAGATGACTACAATAGGAGTAAAGTGTTTGTACATAGGGTTATCAGCATTTACATGTGACTAACAACCACTTAATACAGCCTGCAAGCCGTAATACACTTACGGGACATTGTTGCTGCACTGCTTTTATTAACATTGAGTAACAATCCACTAATTTTACTAGCAATTTATCTTATCATTAAAGATATCTGTAGCGTGATATTTATATAAAATAAATTGTATTTGGATTAGATATGATTTGTATAATGCTGTATGTTTTTTGTACTACAATATTTACACTTCAATGTTACAGCAAAGTAAATCTGTACGGAAAAAGTATGTAGGCTGCCATTACTGAACTCTTTTGAAAATGCTAGTTTCCCAAATGCTGTACTGATCCAAACAGTTTAATACTTTCTTAAAGCTGAACTCCAGCCACAAAATCTTTCCTTTAAATAAGTTTCACCATACTCACAGAGGACATACATCCACTTTATGTGCACCAATGCATTTAGAAAACCAGTTTATTACCTTTTGGGGGAGGGACCCAGCAGAACATACACACTATAGGCTGCCTGCAGAAAGCTACAGGAGGGGGTGGAGTAATGACCAATCACCCTGCACAAGAAGAGAGAGCCGCAGTGACTGGTCTATATTATAGCAAGCTACTGCACAACGTTTTATGCTGTATTACACAGACCTGGATGAAATACACCATGAACACCAAGATTAATTTAGGCATACACATTCCTCTTGTAGTTAGACAATGTTTGCATTTCCCAGAGTTCAGCTTTACTCACTGACCTAGCAAAGGTATGCAAATAAGTAATTCTAACTGTCCTCTGCCGTCACTAGCTGTATTGTTATTCTGGGTCTGTGATTCAAAGTATTGAGATGAGAGACAGGCAGGCAACTGCATATTCAGAAGAAGATCAGCAATGGCAGCTTCCACTTTTCTCTCAATAGAGGTTTGATGATGAAGAAGAAAAGTATTTTAAAGGGAAACTAATACTTTTTAAAGTTATTTTCAAGTACTCACAGATACCAATTACTGATACATTTTTGTTTAGTGTCATGTGACAGGCTAAAGATTTCAGGACAGTGTTGGAGCGCCAGGGCCCAGTCACAGGTGCAACGGCTGCGACCCTGGTACTTCACATGAAAATGCCAAGTATCAGCACTGGTATCTGAACATCCCTATTTTAAAATAAAACCTGCCTCATCTCTCCCTCTTATATTGCTGCCTAAGTCAGTTTTAAATTCCACAAAAACAGCACACTTCAGAAATCACAAGCAATTCCAAATTGGGGCCATGATTAGAGAGCACACATTTCGGGACATGTACGGGCTATTGTGAATAGCCCGTACAGCTCCCCCTCGGTTCTCCTGAATGCAATGCAATGGTGCAATGGTGATAGCAGTTCAATCTTTAGTGAAGACAACCATGACAAACTTAGAAAAATTCCTGAAAGTCATTTGTAATGCATCTGTTACATTTTTAGGTTGCTGTAATTGTCCAGAGTTTGATGAACATATCATTTATATACAGTTAAAGTAACCGTGCTGCTGAAATAAAAAATATCCAAAATAAACCTCCTGTTAAGGAAGAAAGTTTATATTTACCTGGTCTACTGCCCATTTGTGGAAACCTTGCTATGCTGCACTGCAAATCCGCCAGAGTAATCTTTATATTCAACATACTGTATGTTAAGGGGTGGGTCAGATACCTGTGGTTCCTTTAACTGGCCTCTTGGACATGCTAAAGATGAAGGCAGGAGGAACCAAAAAGTGCAATGGGAGGGGGGAGGGACAGGCATCTGATACTCCCGGAAGTGTGCTGGGTGTGAAGGTATTTTGGGCGCTGTAGGTCTGCTGTTAAGTAATGATTCCATGAGGGACCACAAAGTGCAATGGGATGGTGGCAGCAACCTGACACTCCCGGAAGAATGTTGGATGTGAAGATGCTTTGGGTGCTGTAGATCTGCTGTAAAGTAATGATTCCATGAGGAACCACATAGTGCAATGGGAGGGGAGGACAGGCATCTGACACTCCCTGAAGTGTGATGTATCTGAAGATGCTTTGGGTGCTGTAGCTCTGCTGTTAAGTAATGATTCAATGCAGGCACCAGACCAGGTAAGTATAAACTCTCTTCCTTTATACGATCATTTGTTTTCAGTGACCTGCTTGGTTTATGATTAATTGTATCCACATGTGTATTTAAAAAAAATAAGACTATGGTTTCTTTAAAAGAAAAGGTTGAAATATATAGTCACATACTAGTTAGTGGTCTTCTTTTACCAGAGCACAAGTATATGTAGCCCTCTAGTGGAATGATACATATCTACACTCATAGTCTAAAAAGTTCCAGTATATTGATAAAGGGAAATTATATTGATTTTGGGTCAATATTATATTTAAATGTTGTAGTGGAGGGGGCATAGTAGTACTTGCCATTGTACTTTAGGGCAGACTTACCTCTGCGTTTGCCCTCCTCCAGCACTAAGGGGTCCATGCTCTCTCTGCTGCTGTGTCTTCTTTCCTTCATTCTATACTTTCATTGATGATTGAGATTGGGCTTTGAAATCATATTAGCTGAAGGTATAAGCCGGGGTGTACTCTGCCTTTCGCATGCACTGCAGTACACAGTACACTGTAGTACACAGTACACTAGAAGAAGCTGTGTTTTTTATTAACAATCACATGCATGCACTGCAGTACACAGTACACTAGAAGAAGCTGTGTTTTTTATTAACAATCACATGCATGCACTGCAGTACACAGTACACTAGAAGAAGCTGTGTTTTTTATTAACAAAAACTCTACTTTCTATTGTTGTTATTTTTTCAGTTTAGTTACACCTTAATAGATTAAAAAATTTTTAACTAACAGGTTTAGTTTCCTTTTAATGGATGGGTGCCTAACACCTAAGTGTTTTGCTGCATGCTTCCCAAAGAGCGACAATGCTCAACATGAAGAATCCCATTCTTTCCAATGATGCCCATTATTTTCCCGGTGCCTAAGGGTTTTGTTATATTTGGATTGTGGCGGATTGGGGGTAATCCTATGTAAATGGACACGTCTGTTTTCATCCAACTCTCCACAGACCATCATAGGTCCGATAATTTCACAGGGTTATTCACAAAAGGGTGAAGAGTTTGGAGAAGACAGGAGAAGTGAATAATCTAGGCCAAAATAGATGATTTGGAAAAAATTCTCCAATTCAGCTCACTTTCCAAATGAGCTATTTTGGCCTAGATTGTTCACTTCTCCTGCCATCTCCAAACTCTTCACCCTTTTGTGAATAGCCCTGTCAGTTTTTTCCTCCACTATATAAGTGTGGTGCCTCTCTGTGCCTTCCCTATTCAAGGTTAACTCACCAGATAGCCAAGACCTTATAATAAACAAAGTCTATGGTGCTTTATTCCCACTTAGGGAACGCTGCAACTTCTCCACATATTCAAATTCTTGCTACCCCAAAACAATTGTGTCCGGAAAAATGAAGTTAGGAAAGATCCACTTTTATAAGAGTTTTAAAACACTAAAACATTTACCCTTTTCTGGTGCTATATCAGCACCAAAATATTGAGCTCAGACCTCCTCTCTCCTGTTGCCTCCGAGAGTAGGAGTGTAGCTCTATTACAGAATGGTGTCACTGACCCCACCCAATGCGCTTCACTACTACCAGACTTCCTTATGAGTGGTGAACATGGCATCACTCTATCACATTATATGCACATTGCAGTAACAGCATCCACTCCCTCCTAGAGATTAAAAAAAAACCTAATTGAATCCCTTACATCTGTATCTAATGAAGCAAACAGGGGCACCACCAAACATAGTACAGTCCAAAGCAATTTTATTAATAAATATTTAACAGTATAAAAGAGCCAAAACGTTTCGGGTGTACACACAATCCTCCTTCATTAGGGCTAGAGGGCACAGAGAGAGAAATTGGGATATAACCATAAAAAAAGAAAAACAACTTGCATCCAATGGGGATTATGCCTCGAAATGTGTTAAGGGGGGTTAACTGTACCCTGGAGATGGGCTTTAAACTATTTGAACAGTCTGGTGGCCACAACAAGACGCTATAGAACCATAGGCCCTGCTGGTTCCCTGAAGAAACCTTATTTAAATTTCACATCATTGACTGTTATTGTAATGCAAATATCATTATGACAAAATGATAATAAAAAAAATGATAAGCCCAATAATCTTTTTCTGATGAAGAAGAGGTTAGTCATTCTCCACTGTGTAAAGCAAACACTTTATTTGCTTGCTGGTTAATTCACTGTTATCACTATTTTTTTTAAACAGTTGTCATGGCAACAACACCTCAACTATTGAATACAACATTATCGCCAAGAAATATAACAACAAAGTCACAAGAACAGATTCTTTATCAGAGTAAGTATAATCAGTAATTGTTATTTTGGCGTGATACCAGTTTTGTTGTTACAATGCCAAAAACAAACCTTGTCAAAATGTTTGTTATTAATGGAAAATAAAGAAGCTCTTTGGGCTATAAAATGACTAGACTTTCCAATATCGGAGCTATTGAGATCTATAATGTAACGTTACAATTTTATCTCGCTTTGAGTGTTGCTGCAATGCTCTTCTAAGCCAGGCAATCAAAATAATCCCTCAGGTTGAAAGTATACCTAAAGCCACAAAAAATGACAGGAAATCTAAAATGTTACATTTGTCCCAGAAACAAGAGGTGAAGGGAAATATTGGACATAGATATACTTTAGGAGACCATTCACACCAGGGCGGCTGCGGATCAGTGCGGTTTTCATGCTGATTTCAAAAGGGAGGTTTTGGGAGTTTTTAATTGCATCTCAGCGCTGAAACGCAATAAAAAATGCCCAAAACCGCGATGATGAGCACGGTTCCATTGAAAGCTGTATGGAAACTGCACTGATTAGCGCGGCAAAAATAGTGCAGTTTGGGCAGGGGGTGGTTTGGATCGTGCATAGCCACGCGGACGCATGTTCGGTCCCCATAGCAATGTATGGGATCGTTCATGTCGGCGGATCTGCGCGACCAAACAGCCCCAGTGTGAACGGGCTCTTAGATTACTAGGATCAGTGGGAAGCATTATAAATATTAGTATTAGGATAATCTGAGGAGTCACTGCAGGCCAGGGGTGAGCAACATTGGACCTCCAGCTGTTGTGGTACTACAAGTCCCACGAGACATTGTAAGTCTGGCAGCCACAGACATGACTCTCAGAGGCAGAGGCATGATGGTATTTATTGTAAAAGCACAGCTGGTGGGCCCACCCCTGCTGTAGGTATGTCTTCCTTATATTGTAAACGCTGCGCAAACTGTTGGCGCTATATAAATCCTGTATAATAATAATAATAGGTGATACTGCAACACAGGTGGTGCACTAACCAAGTACCCCAACAGCTTTGCTAGCCACACACAACTGATTACTACTGAACCTCCAAAATTCGAACCATTGATGGCCCTTGTCGACCTTATCCATATTGGCAAAGTTTGATTGAAAAATTGAAGGAGTCAGGTGGGAAATGGATGGAGGGGTCAAGTTGGGGGGGAGAGCGCTAAGCAGTCTCTGACACAGGATTCATGATCTTTGAGTATATCGTCTTTATTCCAACCAGAGAAAAATGAGCAGTTAGCCCCACTGCAAGAGAAAGTTTTTTAAATGCCTGAAGTTCTTCTTTTCGCAGCACAGTCCATTTAAAAACAATCTATCTTTTTTTTCCTTATAAGAAGGTTTGCTGTAAGGGACCAAATAAATGAAGGGCTGAGAATTTGTCAGAGCTTGCTCATACTATTGTGCTGTAGTAATCTGCGTTATGTGTATCAGAGTGCTTTGGTGCCATTGGTATGGCAACAAACCTACGTTGCAACATGTGATGCCATGCATTGAGTTCGCGAAAAAAGATTAACAGGGCTATTCACAAAAGGGTGAATAGTTTGTAATAGGGTGAACAATTTAGGCCAACATAGCTGATTTGGAAAGTGAGCTGAATTGGAGATTTGTTTCCAAATCGGCTATGTTGTCCTAGATTGTTCACTTCTCCTGCCTTCCCCAAACTCTTCACCCTTTTGTGAATAGCGGTTTAAGATGCGATTAGGTGCATTGAATAGGCTGCCTTAACACAAGGTACGTAAATTCACAATGCAGCATGCTTTACAGCAACACTCTAATGTGAATCTGTCCTCAAAGTTTCGAATCTACCTTAATAAAAAGAGATTGTGGGGCCGTGAGTGGTTTCATTAAATCAAATGAATGTTTATCGGGCGCGTTTCGACAAGGCGCTGCTCGCCTTGAGAAAGAGTTGTTCCATTCCAGTCTATTGAGCAGAGGAGAACAGTTTAATCAGTGCAGGTAAACTGTCACAATACATGGCTGTGAGATCGAGCCAAGCAATTGTAAACTGGGTAGCATCTTCCTTTACAAATAAGACACAGCAAATAATCTGCTAATTCTTTTCTCACTGTTACAGCTGTGCGTGGTCCTACGTTATCGTATGTTTCACTTATGAGAAATAGAATATTAAGAATCCAATGTGTTTACTTGCTTTGTTTCTATGTGTCTTTCAGGTGCTGGGGCGATAGTTGCTGCTATTGTGGTTGGTGTCATTATTATATTTTCCCTGGTGCTCATTGCCCTCAAGATGTATAACAGGTAATTTTTGACAGATGATTATCTAATAATTTCTATATACAGCTTTTCATAATAATAAAAAGCAAATTAAAAACAGCTGTAAAAATCTCATGGGGGAGGGGCAAGTTATGTGTTTTTTGAAGCAGAACTCCAGGTAAAATATGTTTACTAACCCTTGCTGTGAGGCTACCCTCACACTGCAAGGGTTAAGTGCTCATTTTTTGTCTACGTACTATAATAAAAAAAGTTATACTCACCCAATCCTCAGAGCCGGCTTGCTATTAGACGGGTCCCTTCCACCTTACTCCCCCTCCGCTGCAGCAGTCTAAGGTCCCTGAGCTATTGCATTCTATACACTGGATGTAGGACATGAGGATGCCAGGGACATATCATCACTGTAGCAAAGGAGGAAACAGGCTGGAGCGAGTGCTTTTGCAGCTGGCCAGGTGAGTGTGTCTTCCTTATGTTTGTCCCTAGACAAAAATTATCACTTACCCTTTGCAGTGCGGGGGTAGCCCCACTGCAAAGGTTAAGAGAGTTCTGCTTTAAATGGACCTACTAGTACCTTTTCACGTTTCCAAGCATTCAATAATTATAAGTCAGGATGTACAGTAACAGTATTATTTTTCACAATTCAATGACTGTGCCTAGGCTGAGATGGTGTAATTAGTCTGCTGCAGGCAGGAGGAAACATTGCCTCGATATCCTCCCAGCGATTAGACTGAAACAATGTAACTTTATAGCAAGTTACAAGGTGAGAGGCTGCAGCAGAGGGCTGATAGATGTCAAACATTTGTGACAGTGGCATAACTACAACCATAGCAGCCCAGGCAACTGCTATAGGGTCTGGGGGTGGAAGGGGGCCCTATTAGGTTGTTAAAGCAAATTATACCTAGTACTGTATCATTAAGGGTTTGGAGTGGTTGCAGTTGACTCTAATCCCCTGTAAAGTCTACAGTGAAGAGACAACTTCAGATGCACAAGAGGAGTCTTCGAGATCTTGGCATTGTTACTCACAGCTCAGAGAGAGAGGTCATAAGGGCCCCATCACATTTTTGAGCCAGCATCTCAGTCCAGGAAGTAGCTGCTGATGCTTGATCGGAATAAGATCACGTTCGGTCCAAACCCGAAAGGAAGCTGTCAGTGGTGGCTTCATCAGTTGTGGAAGAGGCATTCCCTACTCTGCAGCTGCTTGTAAACAAAGGGGAAGGATGCTGGTGACATCATTTGACCTTGAAAGGCCTCATGGACAATGTAATTGACCAAATATGGCCTTGTGGCCATATAAGGCCAATAATGTTACCAGAATCCTAATGTTTTGTTTACATGAAGCTGCAAGGAGGGGAATGCCCCAGCTGCAGCTAATTGGTCCGTCACTGACAGCTTCCTTCCAAGCCAAGCTCATCCCTGATCCTGGACAGTGCCTGATGCAGTGCCAGAGAAGAAAAAAAACGACATGAAGACCTTGTATGTACTGTGATCTCAGAGAGGGAACAATGCCATTCAGTATTACACTCTTATATCACTTAGTGTGCATGCTGTGGTGTGGTGTGAATAGGACACACAAACAATTGTTTTCTATGTGTCCTTGCGGTGACCTGCATTGATCCAGTGCGGTACAATGCAGGTCACCACTATATGTATGAACACTTCAGATTCTGAAAAATGTCCAGGGAAGTGAGTATTGACACCTGTATTCATGAAAGAGGTCTGCGTTTTTTTTAGGTATACACTTCACACAATGTAGCCAGAAGTGAACAGTCCTGGATGGTAATGCCTGTGGATATAGTTCCTAAGGGGTCTTTAAAAAAAAAAAATTGCAGAGCCATTTGTCCTGCAAATCTCTGTGAACGTACGTTCTGAGCAATCGGAAAACAGTGCATTTGGGAAATAATTATGGCCACTAGATGGAGCTAAGGAGCAAATACTTATTTCTGGTGATCCACAGCTACATCTAATGGCCATAATGCATTATTTTTCAGCTATTACATTCAACCTATAAAGAAAATATACTAAGAACACATGTTTTTGCCCCCATTGGCAAGGAACAAAGGTTCGCAGAGATTTGCAGGGCGACTGGCTCTGCAAATTGTTCATAAATAGACCACTTTAAACTGTTTACTTGTTATACAGATGTCTTTTTACAAGGTACATGAAAGGTACAAGGTACATGGTTATGAAAAAAGTAATAATCAGTAAACTGTATTGTAGCTATTGATATTTCTTATAAATCTGGAAGCATACCAGTTAGTAAAATGTCTTTGTTTCATCATAAAGTGAGAAAATACCACGCATATTAGCTTCTATATATATTCCGATGCAATTTCTTTACTCTTTATAACGTAACAGGCGTACAAGAACAGAGCGGGAACTGGGGATGAAAAGCACCAAAACTACAAACACTCCAAGTATGCGGGCTCACGGTTCCATCAGCCAACCTACATCCTTAACATCGGTCCCGCCAGACATCCACCTTGAAAACAGATGATTGTGAGCTTCTCGGCTTTGGAAACATGAAGTAATTCTTTGGTTGATGATTAAAGTTAGTTTAGGACATTCACTGGAACATGTGAATTCTGAAATGTGAGAAAACGTGCCTATTTTAGAGACCTGTTATGAATCCCTGTGTTTAGAAAGCCTTCCTGGACGAAGAGCAGTGAACAGTTCTCCTGCATGAGCAAGCAACTATTGTGTAGAAATCTAGTCATGCTTTTCCATGGACTTCACCTGAACATTACAGTAAAAGGCATCCTTTTGTTTCCTCTGTCCTGTGTCTATGCAAACATGAGAATGTATCCATATATTCTGAGGGCCAGCAGGCCTCTGTGACTCACTGTGGTTATTGCTGCCTTTACTCACTGGACTGATCACTAACCTCATCATGGATTTTATATATGTATGTGTGTGTATTTATATTTATATATAGAAAGGATGCTATGTATAGAATGTTGGAACTTTTCTTTTTTTCGGCTTTCATTCTGTAAATGGGAGATTGTACCAGAGCTAGGCAGAGATTGAGAATACTGGGGGATAAACCTATCCTGACTTGGAATGCTGGCAGCTATGAGTGTGATGCAGTCATGGTGTAGTTGGCTGTATGTGGTATGGCAGTGCACAAACCAATGCAAAATGCAATAACTCATTTCAGTCAATCAAATTTGAATTTATGTTTAGTTAAAAGTGAATTGTTATCGGTTTCTATGGGATCATTCACCTTGTATTACCTTTCTAAAAAAAAATGCTGCGACGCACTGCCAGGCACTTTTGTGTTTTTTGGAACAAAATGCACCAAGCAGTTCAAATTTTGATTTACAGTTTCTATGCATTTCAATAAACCAGATTCTTATGACTGCTCTGATATGTTTACAGTAGGATGGGTAAAGCTGGCCATACGCTGCTCGAATTTCGGCTGAAATTTGAGCAATATGTGGCCCTGCCAGCACGTTCAACAGAAGTCAATTTTTCAATTCACTTTTGCCCAAGGGGCCGGACCTAAAGTTGTCAGCCCGATCAGTGGCTGCAGCCAATTAGCTGCAGTCATTGTTTATGTATCCTGACAGCAGCAGGTGCTGGTTGTCTAAATACAATAGCTGGCAGTGAGGATTCCCCTATCCATGCTCTTTAGCGTGGATGGGGGAATTGAGCATTCTTTCTCATTTAGCTCATGCGGTTGAATGAGCAAAAAACACATAGGTGTGTATTTACAAAAAAAATAAAAAATGCAGCCCAATTTGTCCTAAAAAACTGCATGTATGTTCATTCTGTGCAAAGGGAGGCAAAAACAAAAGTTATTAGGAAAATGCTCCTTTCCCTGTGTGTCTCAGCTCCATCTAGTGGCCATAATGTGGTATTTTCCTGAAAAGAAAATATATAAAGATTATTTGTTTTTGCTTCCATACACAGAGAAGGAGTGTTTCAGAAGGAATGGCTCTGCAAATTGTATCTAAATACACCCCATAGTTTATAGCCAGCTTTAGGCCTTTGACACTCCGACAGCTGAAGTACTGAATTTCCCATGATCCTTGGCTAGCAACTGCTCCTAAGCAGCTACTAGAGTGAAGATTAGAACTACTTTATTTTGAAAGGATGTTAATAGCAATACTGAAAAGTTTTTTTTTTTTTTTTTTAGAATAAGTAGAAGCAAGCCTCTGTAAATGCTGTAGCATGATACTACTGCTAGAGTGGCTATTCCCAACTGATCAAAAATGTGATGCTGTGTAATAAACAATATACTCAGATCCAGCAAATAAAAGGCTGTAAGCGGCAAACTGCATACACACGTTGTTGCTTTCTTCTTGTATGTGATAAAGCAGAAAAAGACTGATAGGTGACACAAAGACAGTTGCTGTACTTACCGCCCTATAACGTTATGCTCTGTACGTGCTATACATTCATCTGGAAACCATCCATATGTATTTTTAGAACAAGGGCGACTGGAGCCAGCAGTTCCAGTTTAGAAAACAGCTTTGTTGTCTGAATGGTTAACTCTTTCACTGCTCAAGGAATTGTTCTCAAAAGCTTCCTGGTGATGAGAGTTTAATTCTGGGATTTTCAAAATGGCTCATCAAACTCAAATTTTGATTGTTCATTATGACAGGTCTTTAACAATGCTGCATGTATGATAGCAATGGAAAATAGTGTAAAAGGCTACTATGATGATAAAGGTAACAAAGCTGTAAACTGAACAGAACACAAGGTGAAGGAGGACATAGAGCACAGGGTGAAGGAGGATATGGAGCACAGGGTGAAGGAGGATATGGAGCACAGGGAGAAGGAGGATATGGCGCACAGGCTGAAGGAGGATATGGAGCACAGGGTGACTGAGGATATAGAGCACAGGGTGAAGGAGGATATGGCGCACAGGGTGAAGGAGGACATGGCGCACAGGGTGAAGGAGGACATGGAGCACAGGGTGAAGGAGGACATGGAGCACAGGGTGAAGGAGGACATGGAGCACAGGGTGAAGGAGGACATGGAGCACAGGGTGAAGGAGGACATGGCGCACAGGCTGAAGGAGGATATGGCGCACAGGCTGAAGGAGGACATGGAGCACAGGGTGAAGGAGGATATGGAGCACAGGGTGAAGGAGGATATGGAGCACAGGGTGAAGGAGGATATGGAGCACAGGGTGAAGGAGGATATGGAGCGCAAGGTGAAGGAGGATATGGAGCACAGGCTGTGCCTGGCTGGCTTCAATGCTTTCTCAGGCACCGAGAACAAGCATGCATGTAATGAGAGAGAGCTCTAAATCTGTATAATTGTTCCAGGGCAGTTCTGAAGGCTCTGGATCATCATGACAGCTTGGGTTGTAGTATTTTCAAAAGGGGGAGTTAGCAGTGCGAGCCTCCATGCTTCCTCAGTACAGGTTTTGAATGAACAAGACAGCCTGTTGATTCCAGCTCCTAGGTGGACTTTTCCTTATTTAGGTAATATCGGTAATGGTCACAGGTGTTTTGCCCCCTAATGCTGGTTATAGATGGCAAGTATGTTTTTCACGAGTTCTGATGAAGTATCTCTTTCAGAAGGCTGGATAATTACTAAGGATCAAGAACTTGAAACCACAGAAATAGTTTATGTAAAGGGCCAGATCCTTGAAACAACCTTTCTACTGTGGAAGTATTTAAAGAGCCATTCAAGGAAACACGTGAGCTGCTAATGCAGTCCAGGGAACACCCCGACTATGCTAAAATCAGATCAGTCAAGTTCACTTTATTGACCTTATTCTAAGGTCTATGGAGTCTACTGCAGCCAGGTTTCACAGACCCTCCTACGCTGGGAAGTACATTACCATTTAGATTTAAATCCTAATTTAATCTGCTTATATTTTGCCTTTCCTGGTTCCTACTTTACCCCCTCATCAACATGCTAATGGCATTTTTTAAATAAAACCTATCTGTTTTCGTGACATACCTTATTTTAGACCTAGCTGTGTCATCTCTGGGTCTCTGTGCTTCTCTGTACAATGCAGGCAGATCATGGCTGGTGGGAGGGGTCGGCAGGCTGCTGTACATAACTTCCTGAAAACATCACAGTACCCTGTTTCAGTACTCCTCTCAAGAGCCCTCAGTCGTGACGCAAGCAGTGGGCTGGATCATGGGAGGAGTTATCCAAATATTAAAACACCTGATGGGTGGAAATCAGTCTGGAGGAGTGGAAGTTTCAATGTAGACTGTTTGCATGCACACTACCCTAGGTCAGTGGCATCACAAGAGGGTGTGGTCCACACCGGGTCACCAGGTGACACTATTAGAGGGGGTGACACCAAAATGACCCACAGTGATTTTGGTGTCATCCCTCTGGAAAGTCGGGCACCCGCTGTACGAGAGAGGTGGTGACCTGGCTGTATACCTTATCCTGCTGGATGAACATTCCATCCATCACCAAGATAGCTGTCGGCAGTTAAGTTTGTGTGACGTCATTGTGCGCGCGTGTGTGATGACGTCACACATGCGCAAAGACTTTCCGGCAGGTGACATCCAGCCTGGGGATGCCTCTGCCCTAAGTAACACCTACATGTGATGCTGAGCCTCCATGACTTAAACAACTGAAATCCAATGAATAAAAGAGTCAGGTCAGGTACAGTAAGGCCTCATTCACACGACTAACAGCCAACCCATACAGATCCGTGGGACGTGCACGGACGTATCGGGCCGCTCCCGGGAAGGACAGGTGCTGCATGTGATTTGTATGCAGCAGCCTGTTCTTCTCTATGGGAGTACGCCGCAGTACGCTCACCCGAACTGCACATCTGTGCGGGTGTACGTACTCGTATGCAGACAGGATGGATTCTGTCTGCTTCCGAGCAGGGACACCCACACCGACGTGCAGTTCGGGTGAGCGTACGGCGGCGTACTCCCATAGAGAAGAACAGGCTGCTGCATACAAATCACATGCAGCACCTGTCCTTCCCGGGAGCGGCCATATACGGCTGTGCGGCGCAGCACGGATCTGTATGGGTTGGTTGTTAGTCATATGAATGAGGCCTAAGGCTTGGCTGAAAAGTTCTAGATGCTGGATGTCCTCCATCCAGGAATGAGGCGGGCTCGATCTGACTTGCTGAAGCTTCTAATGCACATTGAGTCCACAGTTTTCTGAGGGTAGATTGCTTCCGGATAGCACTTTTTAAAGATGCCATTCAGATAACTGTACATTCAACTCGGCACAGCACAGAAACAATTAAGGTAAATTAATCCATTTACTCAGATTTGTTCACATCATATTTGCAATTCTAAGTTTGTTATTGGCCACAAGATCCACTTTAATATAAGCCATTCTGAAAGTGGCTGCACACAGTCAGATTCAGCCACAACTTTAGGTTTTAGTGTGATGGCCTTTCTCAGTGGTTCTAAATTGAATAGATATTTGGTAGCCCCCAGCACTGTATGTATGTAGCTGGTAAATCATTTACATAGAATGTAAATGGTGTGACTAGCCCAGGTCTGTGCAACCTCAATTTAATTGAAATGTATGTAATAAATTGACCCATTTTATGTTTAATAGGGAAAACTGCAGCCCTGTACAGGAAGTGCTGCATTAAAAGGGATAAAACGATGGTCAATATAGATGGCTCCTTAGTAAAAACTGAACTCTTTAGCTTTTTACATGACTTTTTACTAAGAAATCCAACAGCAGAATAGAATAAACATACTTTTTGTGTAGACATATGGCCAGTGGTGTATTTAGGTTTGGGGCTGCCCTAGGCAAGACAAAACTCGGGCGAACCCCCCC